TAGAAGGTGAATCATGTATGTAGTTACGTCGACGTCTGACTTCAGTGCTTCGGCTGGTATATTGTCAGGTCCTGATGCTTTCCCGCTCTTAATTTGCCCGATGGCTATCCTGATTTCTTCGGTTGTTGGTGGAGTGACATCTATAAGAAGGTCTGTGTGTGCTGTTTCAAAGTTCGAGGGATTAAATGGAGCTGGTCTATTCAAGAGTTCTTCAAAATACTCTAACCATCTGTTCCTCCATTCTTGAATCTCAGTGATTGGCCTACCTTCTTTGTCCTTGACCGTCCTCTCTGGTTTATTATGTCTTCATGCTAGTTTCTCCACAGCGTCGTATAGTTGTTTCATATATTCTTCTCTTGCAGCTTTTTCCGCTGTCACTGCTAGGTCTTCCATGTATTTCTTCTTGTCGGCTCTAATGCTCTTCTTTACTTGCTTGTTTGCTTCGGTGTATTCATCTTGTGCCCTGACTTTCTCTGTTTTTGTTCGGCTGTTGTTAATTGCTGTCTTCCTGAATTTTGCGCAGGGTTTCCATAGAGATCCATTCCTTATGATCATGCTTCTTTCGGCCCAGGACCTCCTGACACGTTAAAGTTAATGCTTCCTTGATACCTTTCCAGTTGTCCTTCATATTAGTTTGTTCTTTCAGTAGATCCTGTAAGGCCTGGAACCTGTTGTTGAGAGCTATCTTGAATTCGTCGAGTTTGTCAGTATCTCGAAGGAAGGCTGTATTGAACCTTTATAGTGCTGTTTGTCCAGTGCTTCTTTAGCTACAGTTTTAAATTGGCCACAACTAGGTGGTGATCTGAAGCTATATCAGATTCTCTCTTGGTTCTCACATCCTCTATTTTCCTTCGGAATTTTTTATTGATGCGAATATGATCTATCTGGTTCTCTGTGTTGTGGTCTGGTGAGATCCAAGTAGCTTTGTGTATACGTTTGTGTGGAAATATTGTGCCGCCTATGACCAATTTGTTGAATGCACATAGATTTGCAAATCTTTCCCCATTTTCGTTTCTCTCTCATAGTCCATGTCGTCTCATGATATCTTCATATCCGGTGTTGTCTATCCCGACTTTGGCGTTTAGGTCTCCCATCAGAATGGTGAGGTCATTTCTTGGGCACTTCGCTATGATTGATTGCAGCCTATCGTAGAACTGATATTTATCGTCGTCGTTGCTATCATTGGTGGGTGCATAACACTAGATAACATTCATTGTAATAACCTCCTTTGTATTGAATGATGCTTTGACGATTCTGGATCCATGACATTTCCATCCTATGAGTACATTTCATGCTGCTTTAGACAGCATCAGAGCAACTCCCTGAGTATGTGGAGCATTTTCTTCTTCGTGACCCGAGTACAGCAGCATCTCTGCTGAACCTAACCTTTTCTATCCAGTGAGTTTTACCGATTCCGAGCACCGTAAAATTGTATCTCCTTGTTTCCGTAGCTATTTGATTAGATCTTCCGGTCTCTCACATTATCCGAACATTCCGTGCACCGATAAAAATTGTTGCTCTGGTTGTTAGAAGGGGCATCGGTCTCGTGACATCCGAAGAATATCGGCTTTTACCATGCGGCGTCATAATTCTTCTAAATGAAGATCCTTCAACTCCTGGGGGAGAGTTTAAATGGTTTGAATTATTTTTTCTGATTAGCGTTTTTTAGCGAGTTAATTTCCTATGGGATTGGGTCGCTAACCAGATGCCCAACCCTTCTTCTTTACCCGGGCTCGGGATCGACAGGTGCTCTAGAAGAGCTACAGGCTGAGTTCTCCTGGATTGAAAGTGAATAATATGTCCATCTTTTTGGGAGATAGTTTCGCTAACAGTCGGATTCCTAATACCGGTTCCCTTGACTAGTCTGTACAGTTGTGTGATATTACCTATTGCCGTTTCCTATTATATCTCATGCTTTCGCTACCCACCACTGTTCGCCAAGTTCGGAGCTAGATGGGATGAGTTTTCGAGCATCTATCAGTGCGTCAGATGCCTAAATGTTTTTCTAGTTGCTCCTGAAATATATTCTTAGCTTGGCTATCATTATGTAAGACCCTGAGAAGTTTCCTTGCATCATCTTTCCTACGTCCAGTAAGACGCAAACGAATACGTGCTAGCACCAGAGTATGATCTAAATCAAAACATGTGCTTCAGAACGAGCGACAGTCTTCTATTGAGCCCCTCCATCGATAGCTGATAACGATGTGATCTATTTGTGTCCAACCTTGGGACGATTTAGGGGTAGCCATGTCAAAAGATGTTTTTCCTTATGCTTAAATTTAGTATTTGCAAGGAACAGGCGGTTATCTGAGCATAGCTGCAACAGACGGTCGCCATTATCTGTTCTTTGAGTCACTACGCTATAAGATCCACCCAAATGTCTTTACCTTTCGCTTAGTTTACCTACTTGAGCGTTGAAGTCACCAGCCACTATTACTACATCAGAGCGCCTAGCTTTTCGGCGAATGTCGGAAAGCTTTCTGTAAAACTCATCTTTTACATCATCTGAGCTACAGTCAGTAAGAGAGTAGGCAGAGACAACGAAGAGGCAACGACGAGTGTCCCTATCTTTCCGAGTCCTTACTGTTCCGTTTAATCGGACAGCGCTCAAACGACTATCTACTGGGATCCAGTTTAAGAGAGCTAGTTCTGCCCTAGGACTCAATGCTATACCTACACCAGCAAGGCCACTGGAAGCAGCATCGGAACTTCCAGACACACGAAGCGTGAATCGAGTTGGTTCTTTATTTTGATATGGTGAGGCCAAATGATTGACGCTTCTCAGGTCCTGTATACGTGTTTCGGAGATGCAGCATACATTGATGAAGCGGGATTCTAAATCCTAGTTAAGAAAGCCTGTTGTCCTATTTGGCACAGTGTTCGGACGTCAAAAGCTCCTACATGTAGTTTGGAGCGTGGTTTCATGAGACCAGGAATAACGTCCGCGTACTTGAATCGTTTATCCTGGCGGTGCGAGGTGATAAAGGGACGTGAGAAGGGATAGTCGTAGACATAAGAGATGTGTTTGGAGGTGTAGGAAGGATTTGAACGTGACCGACTTGGTCTTGTGTGCCGTTACGGGTATGAAGGCTGATATCACTTCCCGGCTGCCTACACCGTGGAAGGGTATTTCTTGAGGAATTTGAAAAGGAAGTCGGATTAGTGTTGGTCTTAACGACCTGGGAGCGTGACCACAGAGCCCAAGGGACAACTAATTGAGGTCGGTCGCGCACGTCCTTTTATTGGAAGGTCTTTAATGTGTTAGCTCCGTTTTTCAAAGGGCATTACCGCCGGAGAAGGAAATCCGTGAGGTGTGGCATTTTTAGGGTCGACCTTTTCTAACCCATCCTTTCTTGTGAGAAGGCAGCACCGCTTCAGATGCTGGTTGTCCGAGGGAAACACCTTACTGCCGTTACACTCCTCTACAGTCAGCAGTACGTCTTCGCCCCAGACCTTGATTTGCTACTTTTAGTCTTACCGTTCTCCAACCGACCTGGCTGGCATGGTAGAACCTACAGGAACATATATTCCAGCCACGATAGGCAAACCCAACTACCACGTCAAGGTAGCAGCTATGTACTAGGCCTTCCTAAGCGCTGTTCATTGCCTTAGTCTCTACCTCCGATTACCAACCCCATATGTTCTTTGGTCTGACTCTTTTTCTTGCCGTGGGGATTCCAACTTACGGCCCACTTTGTAATACAGTGTGATGGTTTTCGAAGTGTCTATCCGCTTTCAGAATCTTTACCTAATTTCCTTTTTGGTTGACAGCTGCTCTTTTCCCCGTCAAAACAGTAAAACTGAAGTATCTTGCGTAGATAGCTGCCTACAAATGCCTGTGCCTTTTTGATGGTGGCTGTGGTAGTCACCTGAGTTTCAACTCCATACAGTAGAACTGTTTTGATGTTGTCGGTAAAGATTCTGATTTTGGTGTTGAGCGACAGTTCATTGGAGTTCCATATATTCATCAATTCAGGAATGCTCCTCTTGCTCTGTCAGTTTATCCTCCCATATATGCGTCAAACACACCTTGTTTGTCTTTAATGCTACCCACGTGCGTCAAGACTTCCTAGAACTTTCACAAATGTAATTTGGTTGGCAACCGTGGTGTTATACTTCGTGATCCTGTCTTTTTTCCTTGTGAATGCTGAATTCTAGTTCCACGAGAGGCACCGCCACATTGTTTGTATTCTGCACTTGTTTCTGTGTATATGATGGCAGATCCAAGTCATCAACAGAGCCCGAATCATCCAGATTTGTCCAAGACGTCTTCTTTATTCTCCGCTCTTCCGGATATATAAAAGTCTTCATAACTCAATTGGCAGCTTGTAAGTAGAGAAAAGGCAAGAGTAGACAGCCTTATTTGACACCAATCTTCACTTGGAATGTATCTGTGAGTTGTCTTCCATTCATGGTTTTGCAGTGGAGTTCCTCATAGACGTTCGTATAATGGTGACGATCTTCACGGGGTTTTTCTATCTACATTATGAAACGCTTTCCCATAATCGAGGAACTTGTTGTATAGTGATGAGTACTATTCATTTGGTTGCTCAACAATGATTAGCAGTGTCGCGATCCAGTCTGTGGATGGGTGGTTATTAAGAAAGCCAGCATTTCGATCTAGAAGTTGGACGACTACTGAATCTTTAATTCGGTTCAGTAACACTCTTGAAACATTAGTATGATCCATTCATAGTTTTGTAATTTTTTAAAATGATTTACCACTTTCCAAATCATGTTAAGAGAGCTTGTGTATATACACTTGACTGGAGTTACCTGCTTTAGATCCCAAGTTATACGTTTATCCAATCGAAATTGAACTCATAAGTCTATGGGTTTGGTTGGAAACTTGTGTATCCGTAATTAGTTTCGACCGTAGTCATATTTATGTAGTGCACTGTAACAATTGTGCCGTTGGAACGAAGAATAAAGGTTATTCTTGGATTTTTGCCAGAGACCTAGTCATACTTTAATGCTTCTGAATTATCCCTATTTCGTAGGTCTTTCTCATCCTATTGATTTTATGTTCCACTCACAACCATGGATGGCACTGGCTATTTTGCCCCTTTCTCTTTACATCGAAGGTAAGTTATTTTACCATTGGATCCATTATATCACTTTTCTTGTTGTGTAATCCCAATAATTTCTAGACAATTTTAAGTTCGTTAAAAACAAACTAAATTTATCTTTGTAATGACTGAAGTTTTCAGTACTGTGTGGTGGGTAATATTTATTGTTAATGATTTCTGTGCTACTTATTCTGAAATATATAAAACGTCTCCTTATCCCAAGTAGTTGTGGAGTTTTGAACGTGGAGTCGTAAGGCCAATAATCCTATCTTTATTGATGTGATTTGCAGCTCAGTATGTTGTAGAACATATAAAATCACTGCATCATTTCGACTAACCACTGCCCCCAACCGGATAGAAACATCTGTAAGAAGGATAATAGCTCTGGAACAGACAAGGAAAAGATGTCTCAAAAAATTACTATCAGGAAGTGCTTTGTTGTATTGCTTTTTTATTTATATTAGTTACTTCACAGGTTTTGGGACTGTTTTTAAACCGGTTTTACTATCAAACCTAACTCAACCCCTTATACATGGAAAGCACTGGATACAATGATCCGATTATCTGACTTTAAACCAATGAATGAAAATTATTCCTGAAGATCTAACCATTATTTGACAACTGTAGAATTCTCGGGAAATGCGCGAAATTTTTATGCTCCCTTAGAAATTTTTTTTTTCATAGCAACATCTAACAAGATTATGTCGTTTTTCGTCGTAGTTTTGTTTAAGAATCCTTCGACAAATAAATAATCCAAGATAATCAACAAACATTAAGAATATAAGGAATTGTCATTCTTTTTGGAATACCTCTGATTTAAACAGTTAAAAAAAGTCATTTGTTTATTTAACCACACATAGCACTGTCAGCATCAAAAACGTTTGCCACACTCTTTATCGGCGAATTCATTTTCAAAGCTGTACAATCGCAAATATATACTTATTTTTACAGGATGATAATAATACTGATAATAAACTTCTGTTATACATGGTGACAGTGAGGTTAAATAAACAAAGGTATTAAAAAGATTTAAAACAAGGAAAGTTTAATAATTGTTTGATTGTTAATGGCTTAAGTATTCATCAAAAGATATATAGGGAAATTATCATTGGGAAAGGGTGGTACAGCATGATAAGATGAAATGTTGAAACAGAGATTAAATGTAATCGGAATGATCGTGGAAATAAAAGCAAGCCAGTTGGGGGTAGAAGGTTTAAGGGGAAGATGGAAGGTGAAGCAGGTGGCTGTAAAGGAACTAGAGTATGAAAAAGAGAAAAAGTTTAATACATTAAGACCATGGTAGAAGAAGAGGTTGTATCAGTCTCTTTTGCACACACAGTCCTGGTTTTTCCAGATATATGGCTATTGCTTCGGCAATGCAAAGAAGATCCAGTATAATTGTCTTAGGAAGACTTCTACTCACCTTGTAGATGACTTTGAACGCAGAGTCTGTCTTGATTGAGTGACCTGTGTTCACAAGGTGTTCGATTATAGAACTTCTTATTGAGCCGATGCCTCCTCTTTTTAGCCACGCCGGACAATGTTCTTGAATTGTTCTGGATAACGTACACATCGAACGACCTATATACCTAGCTCCACAAGGGCAGGTAAATTGGTAAACGCACATTGAGTTCGTCAGATGCGATAATTTATCTTTCAGATTATTGGTGAGCAATGATCGGCTGGAGAATAATATTCTCAATGTTGCTGCGAAGAATGTTCTTTTTAAGGAATCCGAAATTCTCCTCTTTAAGATGTATGTGGCTCTATCACCCTTGAAGTCGATATTCATGTGTAAAGTTTTCTTTTCTACTGCAATTATTTGTGTTTTTAGCGTTTTCGACCTCATGTTCTTATCAATGAATATCGAAGAATACCCGTTTTTGATAAGTATCTCCTTAAAGAGGCCCAATTCTTCATATACGACTTGGGAGCTACAGATTCTTCGTATTCTTGTAGCGAGTGTTATTAGTAAGTTTCTTTTTCGGCTGATGGGAACCCAGCTGTGGAAACTTGATAGTTGGCCATTCCACATGGGCTTCCTGTAGACAGATCTTTTTGAAGTACGTTTTTCTTTCTTGTCCTTTCCACATCAAGAAAATGAATATTTTGTTTGTTTCCAACTTTAAGTGTGAATTTTATTGATTGGTGACAATTATTAAATGTCTTTAGGAGATATTTCAAGTCATATTTGTTGTCACAAATGATAAAGATATCATCTACGTACCTTTTATACAAGTGGAGGTTTTCTATAATTGTTTTGAGTTGGTTGTTTTCTAAACTGGCCATGAAGCAATCTGCCAGTAATGGATCAAATGGGGATCCCATTGTTATGCCGTCTTTCTGTCTTTAAATTACGTCGTTGAATGTGAACTGTACATTGCAAGTGCGACGTAGTAATAGTTCCTTCAAATGATCATGATCATTCCGATTACATTTAATCTCTGTTTCAACATTTCATCTTATCATGCTGTACCACCCTTTCCCAATGATAATTTCCCTATATATCTTTTGATGAATACTTAAGCCATTAACAATCAAACATTATTAAACTTTCCTTGTTTTAAATCTTTTTAATACCTTTGTTTATTTAACCTCACTGTCACCATGTATAACAGAAGTTTATTATCAGTATTATTATCATCCTGTAAAAATAAGTATATATTTGCGATTGTACAGCTTTAAAAATGAATTCGCCGAAAAGAGAACTCTTTGCTGGACTAATCTTTTTTATTCAATGTCTTAATGAGTGTATTCCGTTTACACTTTTTATCTTCAAATATTATATGGTAACCTACCTACCAACTAAACAAGACGCTTTTTAGGCTGGTCAACTACAGTACGTTTTGTGACTGAAAATAAATCTGTACATGCTATATGATGCCGTTCTTTTGTGTAACATATATTACTTATTAACTTGCTGGTATCAAGTACGGGGTGCAGGTGTTCAGATTTTACCATGAAGTCATCACTATTCTATTATAAAGCTCCACTGACTGCAAAATGTTCTATCATCGGTCTTATAATTGTCGGTTTATTTAAGCGCTCGAATAAATCAGTATATATTAGTACATTGGTTACTCCATCTATTAGGGTAAATTTCTTCAAGAAAATCAGGTTGAATTTCCCTTTTTGTGCGACTTAAATTGTAGTATCATGACATCGAATTGTTTTTGAAATGAGATGCAATTTTTGAAACGTCTACTATCCTATTTTAACTGAAATAAGTTAATACGTCAATTGGAGTTGTGTGATTAGTAATCATTGTAAAAATTAGGTAATATAAGGTGACGGAAGTAATAATGTAACTTCTATATAGAGTTTAAGATGAAGTAAGTCCCAATTAAATTCTTCATGTATTCGAAGGTCTATTATTAATAAAAAGAAATGTGAATAATAACATCGGTTATGCTTGAGTAGGTTATATCTAACATATGGAGACAAAAAGAAGAGTTATTTTTTGCTTTATTTGAGTTTGTTCATTCTACAGTTAGGATACATGTTGACTTCTGTGGCTTGAGCTTTTACATGATAAAAAAAGATGAACCTATTTCTTTGTATACAAAGCTCCGGTTGTCAACGCGCATGAGTACTGTTTATTTTTTTAGATGAAGGTAGGTCGCAAATACTTTGATAAACAACTACTAACACTACAAATCACTGTAAACTTGTTCACGCTGACTGTATCGTTAGTAACAATTAGACGAGGATAGGACTGTTGGCTATTTCAAATAGATTTTTTAACCATCCTAAGGTGTGTTTGTTAACACGGGAATGTGAATATCTAGGATATTTAGCTTACCCCATAAGACCAGTTGTACTGTTTGGTACGAAGATATGACTGGTCTAGGTAATTTTTCCATCAATCTCATAGTTGTCATCTGACTCTTAGAAAATATTAGTTGCAGTTTTCCCGTATTGAGCGTTCTGTGAAACGTTCAGAATAATCGCATCACTAGCATTTCACTGGGTGTGTCACCCCTAAGTTATGGTCGCCTAAAAAACGATTCTTTGCTTACCATGAACGTCTCCGAGCTACCATTTTCGTTTTGAGTATTACTCAGCATATTCCTTACCCAACTGTATCCAGAGAACATATAGTCCTTATTCTACGATAGTCTTCGTATCTATTTTACATTGTAGAGGAAAAAAGCTAAGAATTCGGGTATTGAGTTGTCCAAGTCCTTTATTGTTAAGGTTCCTTTTGAGTGATCCATCTACTTTTTCATCAGTTGGAGATCTAGAAAAGCTTTCCTCTCTGTGCTTTATTTCTCGTATGTGAATTTAACAGACGAGTCAACATCACTTAATCTCTTGAAAGTCCAACTAGTTGACACAATCTTTACAAAAAATTAACATATCATCTATGTATCGACGGTAAAAGGAAAAATTATCAGGAAGTTATACAAGTGGCCCGTTTTTCAGTTAAGCTGAGAAAATATCGGCTAGTTTATGACTCATTGGCGAACATGTTGTTACTCCATCCAGTTGCCTGTATATTCCTCCGTTAAACATGTAATTCGAATTTATGGTACATTTTAATAACAACTTTTTAAGTAAGTATAATGGTATCACAATGTTTAATTTCATCCCACTAATTTAGTGTGATGTGTAATTGACTAACTCCACTTGTAGCTGTTCTAGAGTTACTGCCGAGCCCGGGTAAAGAAGAAGGGTTGGGCATCTGGTTAGCGACCCAATCCCATAGGAAATTAACTCGCTAAAAAACGCTAATCAGAAAAAATAATTCAAACCATTTAAACTCTCCCCCAGGAGTTGAAGGATCTTCATTTAGAAGAATTATGACGCCGCATGGTAAAAGCCGATATTCTTCGGATGTCACGAGACCGATGCCCCTTCTAACAACCAGAGCAACAATTTTTATCGGTGCACGGAATGTTCGGATAATGTGAGAGACCGGAAGATCTAATCAAATAGCTACGGAAACAAGGAGATACAATTTTACGGTGCTCGGAATCGGTAAAACTCACTGGATAGAAAAGGTTAGGTTCAGCAGAGATGCTGCTGTACTCGGGTCACGAAGAAGAAAATGCTCCACATACTCAGGGAGTTGCTCTGATGCTGTCTAAAGCAGCATGAAATGTACTCATAGGATGGAAATGTCATGGATCCAGAATCGTCAAAGCATCATTCAATACAAAGGAGGTTATTACAATGAATGTTATCTAGTGTTATGCACCCACCAATGATAGCAACGACGACGATGAATATCAGTTCTACGATAGGCTGCAATCAATCATAGCGAAGTGCCCAAGAAATGACCTCACCATTCTGATGGGAGACCTAAACGCCAAAGTCGGGATAGACAACACCGGATATGAAGATATCATGAGACGACATGGACTATGAGAGAGAAACGAAAATGGGGAAAGATTTGCAAATCTATGTGCATTCAACAAATTGGTCATAGGCGGCACAATATTTCCACACAAACGTATACACAAAGCTACTTGGATCTCACCAGACCACAACACAGAGAACCAGATAGATCATATTCGCATCAATAAAAAATTCCGAAGGAAAATAGAGGATGTGAGAACCAAGAGAGAATCTGATATAGCTTCAGATCACCACCTAGTTGTGGCCAATTTAAAACTGTAGCTAAAGAAGCACTGGACAAACAGCACTATAAAGGTTCAATACAGCCTTCCTTCGAGATACTGACAAACTCGACGAATTCAAGATAGCTCTCAACAACAGGTTCCAGGCCTTACAGGATCTACTGAAAGAACAAACTAATATGAAGGACAACTGGAAAGGTATCAAGGAAGCATTAACTTTAACGTGTCAGGAGGTCCTGGGCCGAAAGAAGCATGATCATAAGGAATGGATCTCTATGGAAACCCTGCGCAAAATTCAGGAAGACAGCAATTAACAACAGCCGAACAAAAACAGAGAAAGTCAGGGCACAAGATGAATACACCGAAGCAAACAAGCAAGTAAAGAAGAGCATTAGAGCCGACAAGAAGAAATACATGGAAGACCTAGCAGTGACAGCGGAAAAAGCTGCAAGAGAAGAATATATGAAACAACTATACGACGCTGTGGAGAAACTAGCATGAAGACATAATAAACCAGAGAGGACGGTCAAGGACAAAGAAGGTAGGCCAATCACTGAGATTCAAGAATGGAGGAACAGATGGTTAGAGTATTTTGAAGAACTCTTGAATAGACCAGCTCCATTTAATCCCTCGAACTTTGAAACAGCACACACAGACCTTCTTATAGATGTCACTCCACCAACAACCGAAGAAATCAGGATAGCCATCGGGCAAATTAAGAGCGGGAAAGCATCAGGACCTGACAATATACCAGCCGAAGCACTGAAGTCAGACGTCGACGTAACTACATACATGATTCACCTTCTATTCAAAAAGATTTGGGAGGAGGGACAAGTGCTGATGGACTGGAAAGAAGGACACCTCATCAAGATTCCAATGAAAGGTCTGAGCAAGTGTGAAAACTACGGAGGCATTACACTACTGTCAGTACCAGGGAAAGTCTTCAACAGAACGTTGCAGAACCAGATGAAAGATGCAGTAGACGCCCAACTTCGAGATCAACAAGCTGGATTCCTTAAGGATTGATCGTGTACAGATCAAATTGCGACACTACGGATCATCGTTGAACAATCAATTGAGTGGAATTTGTCACCAAACATTTGACAGTGTGGATAGGAGAACCTTATGGAAACACCTTCGACAATACGGAGTTCATGAGAAGATTGTCAACATTATCCGGAACTCATACGACGGACTACAGTGCAAAGTGGTGCATGGAGGACAGCTGATAGATGCATTCCAAGAAAGGAGCGGAGTCCGACAATGCTCCCTTCCTCTTCTGGTGGTCGACTGGATTATGAAGACATCGACTTCTGAGGGAAAACACGGCATACAATGGACAGCTCAGAACCAATTAGACTATTTGGACTGCGCAGATGACCTAGCTCTCCCATCGCATACACACGAAGAAATGCATATGAAAACAACTAGTGCAGCAGTAACCTCTGCATCAGTAGGCCTCAACATACACAAGGGGAAAACCAAGGTCCTCAAATACAACACAGAGAACACCCAATCACAATTACTTGAGAAACCCTGGAAGATGTAGGATCCTTCACGTACATGGGAAGCATCATCGATGAATAAGGAGGATCTGATGCAGACGTAAAAGCAAGGATTGGCAAATTAAGGGCCACATTCCTACAAACTTAAACCAACTGTCAACCAATGTCAAAGTCAGAATCTTCAATACGAACGTCAAGATATTTCTATTGTAAAGAGCTGAAATTTGGAGAACTACTTCAACTGTCATCAAAAACGTACAAGTATTTATAGACAGTTGTCTACGCAAGATACTCAATATCCGTTTGCCGGATGCCATCAGCAACAGTCTACTGTGAGAGAGGACAAACCAACTTCCAGCTAAGGAGGAAATTAGGAAAAGACGTTGGAAGTAGATAGGACATTACGTAAATCACCAAACTGCATCTCGAGGCAATCCTAACTTGTAATCCTGAAGGGAAGCGGAAAATAGGAAGGCCAAAGAACACGTTACGTCGGGAAATAGAAGCAGATATTGAAAGGATGAATAACAACTGGGAAGAGCTGGAAAGGATTGCCCAGGACAGGGTTGGATGGAGTGCTGATGGGCGGCCTATGCCCCTCTACGAAGAGTAACAGGCGTAAGTAAGTAAGTAAGTCAATCCAGGAGATTGGATCGATGGGAAGAACACTTTATGAATCAGTTCAACTGGCCTTCAGCCACACTTCGGTTTCCCACGATCTCCAGTCAACCTGAATGGCGAGTTGATGAAAATCTACCAACTCTTTACGAAATTAAAAAAGCTATAGGAAATCTGAAGCGAGGGAGAGCAGCAGGCCTTGACAAGTTTACTCCTGAGATTTTTAAGGATGGTGGTCCAGTATTAGCAGTGAGATTAACTGAGGTCTTAGGTAGAATTTGGGAACTGGACGTAATCCAATCTGACTGGTCTCAATCACTGATTGTGCCAGTCTATAAGAAAGAACAAAAGTCCTCTTGTGACAATCAATGAGAAATCAGTTTGACTAATACAGTGTCTAAAATACCAGCTTCAATAGTACTTTGACGCCTAACCGAGGCTCGTAAAGAGCAGACTAGAGAAAATCAGGCTGGTTTTCGACCTGGACGTGGTTGTATAGACCAGATATTCGCACTACGTCAGGTTCTAGAACACAGGCACACATTCCGAAGCCCCACAATGATAGTATTTCTCGACCTCAAGGCAGCATCCGACTCTGTTGATCGTGAGGTTCTATGGCAGTGTTCGTCACTGAAAGGAGTACCAAAGAAGTACATTAACCTTGTAAAGGCTCTCTACTCGAACACAACTGGCCGAGCGAGGGCTTATGGCGAACTGTCATCAGAATTGATTACCTCAAGTGGTGTTCGTCAGGGCTGTCCACTCTCTCCGTTCTTGTTCAACTTTGTCGTTGACGTGCCTTTAAAGATAACACTTTCCGCATCTGACTTTCCAGGGGTTGAACTTCTACCGAGAGATCCACTTGTTGACTTGGAATATGCCGATGACATAGTTCTGTTTGGTGAAGACGCTGACAAAATGACGAGTCTTCTGACCACTGTAAGCAACAATGCAAGCATGTTTGGGATGCGATTCTCCCCTTCGAAATGCAAAATGTTGCTTCAGGATTGGGTTCCATCGACACCCGAACTAATGATAGGGAGTGAAGTAGTTGAGCGTGTCGACTGCTTCACTTATCTTGGGAGTCTGATCAGCCTTTGTGGTCCGAAAGAAGCATCATCTTAAGGAATGGATCTCTATGGAAACCCTGCGCAAAATTCAGGAAGACAGCAATTAACAACAGCCGAACAAAAACAGAGAAAGTCAGGGCACAAGATGAATACACCGAAGCAAACAAGCAAGTAAAGAAGAGCATTAGAGCCGACAAGAAGAAATACATGGAAGACCTAGCAGTGACAGCGGAAAAAGCTGCAAGAGATGAATATATGAAAGACTGTGACGAAAGTGGTAGGGATCACCAGACCGGTCGTGCGCAGATCAATTTGAAATACTACGCATCATCGTTGAACAATTACTGTAGTGAGATTCAGCATTTTACAAGAACTTCATTGACTATGAGAAGGCGTTTAATAGTGTGGACAAGAGGATCTCTATGAAACTTCTTCTACACTATGATTTGATTTAGATCGTTAACACGACGGACCACATTGCAAAGTGTTGCATGGGGGACGGTTGACAGCCGCATTCCAAGTGAGGACTGGATTCATACAAGACTCTTTTGCTGCTGAGTGACTGGATTATGAAGATCTCGATATCTGAAGGGAAGCACGGAATATTGTGCCCGGGGATTCGGAAGCTGACATCAAAAGAAATAATAGCAACCGGAAAGGACTACCCAGTGCAGAGTTCGATTTAGAATCCTTGTGAGCGTTTCATGCTCCTCCCCGTTAGGAACAGAAATAAGCAATGATTATTTAATGTTTCCATGGATAAAACATCTGTTATTTGTTATGTCGCACCCAAAGATGAAGTAGCATGTTCTCGGGTGCTTCAATCTTTGGTTGTCTGAGAACTGAAATACTTTTCTGCACTTTGCTTGACAATCTGTTTACGGGGTGGTTTCAAAGTGATCTCTAGCCATTTCTATTTATTTAGATTTCCAAAATTAATGTTAGTATCTAATTTTTTCCTTCTTTAGTTTAGTAATCGATATGTTATTAACATACTTTTCAGGTCCTCTTAGAAGATGTTTTTCACTTGTTTACCATATTCCTTCGGGACATAATTTAAAATTATAGAACCTGGTGACTCTATTTGTGAAAATATTGTTCGTTCATATACCTGTGTTTCCAATATTCTGGGAATTTTCAGACGAATAATACTGCAATTTATTTTATCATAACTTTCCTAGGTTTTGAACTCATAACAGCAAAGAATCTTTTTCGCACTGATGCCTTTGATCAGTTAATAGGCGACTTAGTTCAACTAGGTACTGGAGCTTTGTTAGCATTCGGTCTTGAAATATCAGAGTATCTAGTTGTTAGTGCTACTTCAAGTTTGACTTTATCAGTTGCTGGTATATTTAAGGTTAGTTCCTAATATTTATTTGTAGAAACGTTTTATTGCGTTGTTTCTCAATGTACTTTTCCAAGACTAGTCAGATGTGGAATTTATTTATTTGAACACATAAATATTGGTACAAGAGAGCGCCAATATATATGCGCCACACAAAAGAATGAGAATTCGAAGGGAAAAAAAGAAAAAAAAGGTAGGGAGCGTGAAAAAAAGAGAACAATAACGAAGAGGTTGGTGTAAGGTAGTGTAGTAATAATAATAGCAATAATGAGGGAACGGAAAGGTACAATCAGAAGAAATCTCTCAGTTAAGGAAGATACAACCACTTTTTATGAAGAAAGTAAAAGAAGGTTACAGTAGGATCTCCACTGGCTTCTATTCTGAGCCATATCTGATAACGTCTCTAGCCACTGTGTAGCACCATCCCTCGGACCCCAACCATGAAGTCGTGAAGGACCGACAGAAACCAGTCCTTTGCAGCTTTCTTTCATTCCGCGACATCATGTCATACACTGACCACCTTTCTGCTTTTTCCAACCAGTCCGCGCGTCCGCAAATAATGCACGACGTGGAATTCTCTGGGACGACGTTCGTAGGACATGTCCAAGCCACCGAAGTCGATGTTTCGAGATGGTGACACCAATTGAACTATCGTCTCTGCGCCCGAACACACGATGCCGAACCTCTTCATTACTGACATGGTGTCGCCACTGGATGTAAGCAATCCTTCGGAGACAACGATGATCGAACACAGAGAGACGTCTAACATCCTCAACTCGGAGAGGGCAGGTTTCACAAGGATAGTGTAAAACTGCTCTCACCGACGCGTTGTAAATCCGACCTTTTACAGCCAGACTAACGTGACGAAGGCGCCGAAGATGGCCCAGATTGGAATAAGCCGCTCTGGCTTTCACTATACGTGCATTGATCTCATCACTCACGCCACCACCGGCACTTATGCAGCTACCCAGGTACACAAAATTCCCGACTACTTCTACCTGCTCACCACCCAAAGTGAGTACAGGATCAGAATCCTGCCAGTTTTGTAGAAGTACTTTGTACTTCGAAGGTGAAAAGCACATACCGTACATACGGACATTGATTGCCAACTGATTAAGTGCGGATTGCATGCCTTGGGCATTATCGCACAGTAAGACAATATCATCCGCATACTCAAGGTCGAGAAGTCTTTCTACAGACAACAGATCCACACCACCATTACTTACATCCATCAGAGCTGTTTCCAAAATGTCATCGATGGCAAAGTTGAAGAGAATGGTGAGATTGGACAACCCTGTCTAGCCCCACTGCTTGAATGGAACAATGGAGAGAGGTGGTTGTATGCCCTCACTGTGCTTGAGGTGTTTGTATATAAGGCCTTTAGGATGTTGATAAACTTCTCAGGCAGTGATTGGCATCCCGTCATCCTCGCAGATTGTTTCGCTCACGCCAGACTTCTTGCTGCCAGTGGCTCGGATGAGTTGGAAGAGCTTCCGGTAGTTACGAGATGCAGCTGCTGCTTCCAGCTCATTAGCATGCTCCGACCACCAGGTTTCTCGGTCCTTACGCAAGCTTTGCCCAATTTTCTTACGTAACATCCTTCGTATATGGTCAAACTCACGGTCACCCGGAGTAGACCGACGGGCTTCAATGAGTTGTAAGGAGCCTGGAGAAACCCAGTGCTTATAAGCGGGATGTTTCGCGAACCCACAACTGACTGTACCCACCATTCTGATGGCGTCATGCAATTGCAACCAATGCTCATCCATACTTTTCGGTGGAATGGTAGCTAGCCTAGAAACTAGCTCGGTTCGATACTTACTAGCAACTGAAGTTGCAACCAGCTTGCTAATATCAATCCGTTGGTGGCGGTCACTTCGTTGTCCACTGAAAAGTAAGGTAAGATTGGCGCAGACCAGGGCATGGTCACAGTCCAGATAGGTACTCGAAAAGAAGCGGCAGTCTTGTACACAACCACGCCAGCGTTAGCTGATCGCGATGTGATCTATCTGAGTCCAGGCTTGGGATGCAGAGGGAGGACTACAGGTGGCACATCGGTGATGACTGTGCCGAAAGTTAGTGCTAGCCAGAAACAGATTGTAGTCTGTGCACAGTTGCAGTAGACGGTCCCCGTTATCTGTCCTGCGACCAACAAGTCCCCATCGGCCACCTAAACGACTCTCTTCTGTGCCTAGACGCCCGACCTAAGCATTGAATTCTCCGGCTAATACTACAATATCTGTCGGACGCACTTTCTGGAGAAGAACAGTTAACCGGTGGTAAACTTCATCCTTGATTGCATCCGGGCTACAATCTGTCGGAGCATAGGCGGAGATGACGAAAAGACATCGTTTCTCACGCCGATTTCTTCTCACTTTGATGGAACTCTCTAATGCAACAGCACATAACCGACTGTTAATGGGGATCCAATCGATTAGTGCTGCCTCAGCTCTAGTGCTTAGTGCGACACCAACGCCAGCAAGGCCAGGCGAAGATGCTATAGGGTCCCCGGATAAACGCACGTAAAACAAGCTTTTTGAAGCGACAGACGGAGAGCGAATTTTTAGTACTTCATCAGAGTCTTGAATACGGGTCTCGGATAGACAACAAACATCAATATTAAGACTTTCCAAAGACATAGCCAGCCCTATCTGTTGTCTGATCTGCATTAGTGTGCGAACGTTGAAGGCAGCCGGTTTGAATCGTGTACGCGGTTTCAGAAAAACTGTTTCAATATTTGTAATCAGTGGTAGCATTCAATTTCCGACCAGTCAGTGACTCGAGATCGTTTAGATAGAACAGAGTTTCCACCATGGGCGAGCTGCTGTATAAGTATAAAGAGGGTGAATAATGTGGTAAATAATAATAACCATTTGAATCATTTGATTGTTATTCGAAGCGAGAAAGGTAGTCTCCATAGATATAGAGAGTTCATCATTTGCGTGTGGGCTGCGATGCTGTCCGGGTGCCCAGACCGAAGCAGGTGGTTATCTTAGGGGCCACACCCCGAGCCTTTGACTTAAAGGTCTAAACTACAAGGCAGTGGAGCATCGTAAGGAGATGCAGTCCCATGGTAGCCGGTGACCAACGATTGGTTCATACGCCATTTGTTCCCGCAGGATACTGGAGCCCATGTGCACCATTGGTTTGGAATCCGGTTAAAGCGCCGGACATTCGCTTTTCGTCCTTTTATTTTCGTAAACAACACCCTCGCCACGAGAAGGCAATGAGTAGGACTTCCCTGGCAGAGGCTGTATACGCGTGGCCGTGTGAGAGTATTTCGAGAGGGAAAGCGGACTCTCCCCACTCTTGGCCGTACCAGGGCATTTGGGGGTGATGTGGAAATTATTAATGACTAACCGTGTTTCCTTATTTTCGTTATCAAAGCTCATACTCAGGTAATCCATAATTCTATTTCTTCTGATTTAATACTTTCTGGGCAAATGTTCAATAATCTCTAGTTAAGTTTGTGTCCTATCATTTTGTTTAGGACAAAAAACGGTTTGCAATATAAGATAAATCTACCTAAATTTCTGATATCTCACAATTTCCAAACTACATGTCTTAACAACTAATAATAATAATAATAACAAAGAAATCGGTTATACTGGAAACTTTTTTATGCTGTGTACTCATAGCAAACAGTTCTCTGCACTCTGGCGGGATGTATGCTTTTTTTCCTGCAAATTAAGGCCTACGAGCTACTTTACACTACGTATTCTAGCTAATAAGTTTCTGGCAAGTGGTATTGAAAACTGAAGATGTACCACAGCTGCAATAATTTCATTAGGATACTGAACATAATATCGTTTGATTTCCTTACTACTATGATTGATGCTACCAGTGGGAAGAACGTTACTAAATAGTTATCACAATTTTGAGGACATCCGCTTTCTTGTTAATCAACTTACATAGTACTGGTTTTTTCAAATATGGTAATAGGAATATCCGTGTGTACTAACTTCCTTTTTAGGTCTGATATGTTTTGCTTATCTAGAGCGGTTTTGTCTGGTTATCAGGAGCTGGACTGCTAATGTATGTACGTGAAACTCAACCGTTTTGGTTAAGATTGTTGGTAATGAACCAGATCAGTTACATGAGTAAGGGCATACAACTTGTCATGTAATTAACCGATGGGTGAAGAGAGTATTGTCAACAAGTCTGTTGGCACCAAGAGTAGGACAGACAGTCGATGCAATTGTTATTTAAGTAAATGAGCACTTACGAAATCGTCGAGTCTAAGCAATGAAAAATAGGCATCCGCAAGGTACATGCACTCAGTGAGTCGTAATTTTGTTTAGCCTGTTCTTGAAGGTAATAAATATTAAAGTTGTTTTACTAATTGATTCATATATATATATATATATATATATATATATATATATATATATATATATATATATATATATATATATATATATATATATATATATATGAGACAGAGGTTATTTGTTGTACGTAAAGGTCCTTATTCTTCCAATCAGGGTATCGTTTTATTCCTCACATTTTACGAATACGTTGTCTTCAATTTCAGGAAGTATGTACTTTGTACCTTGCTGCAAAATTTAATGGAGATAATATATCTTTCGTTAATATGATTGGCTTCGTCATCTGTTTGTGTGGAATCACTCTTCATATAGTTGCAAAAGCTGTTAACAGTATGTTGGTCTATGATTTAATGCTCTACAATTTCATTTTTGTCTAATATCAAATATTTAAACTTACTAAACCTATTTTAAGGTGCATGAGGTCCCTTCAGTACTTACTAATATACAACTTCATCCGTGTTTAGGATCTCACCACCGTCATCATTATAAGAACCTGTTACAAAATGCCACAAATCATAATGTCTGTAATCTGAAAATCATACTTCTCTCCAATCTTGACACTCGAATTATGTGCCACTTTTGAAATAATCTAATTTAAGATACTGAGAATAACCCATGATTATTTGAAACACGATACTGACTTGTTAGCAACTGTATTCTAGAATCTAGGCTTAAATATAACACAAAACCTCTACAAGTAACATAGTTCACAAAAAATAATGTGACTTTGTATTTCCAGCTTTGAAAAAGCACGGAATCATCATGTATGATCTTCAGTTCCATATTAATCACGGAAACGTTTTGGAAATAGTCCCAAGATCTTTTCTCTGGAAAATATTAATTGTTTATAATTTTAAATTTTAACCATTACCTTTATGTAATTATCAGCATTAGGCAACGCAAGCGGTTAGACTAGTTACTGCTCTATGTGAAACTTTTCAAGCCAAACATGAAAACCTACAAGTGATCGATCTGAATTTCATTATAAATTATAGCACAGTTTCACAGTGAACGAGCACTCAGGTGGAGCAAACCAATTTATTATTTAGTGCAAATTACACAGTTGCTTAGCAAAATATGAAAATAATACACTAAATATATGATTTGCACATCTTTCAGTTATCCCTTACAAGTTACATGATTCTTTCAATTCTTTAGTTATTCAAATTGCTCTATTCCCCTTCCTGTTCTCAATTTAACCTGTTGGCAGGCATTCTACTTCAGATTGCAGCTACATACTACTTGTACCTACTAACATAAGTTGCATCCACCACAGTTGTTGTACTAAAATTATCAGAAATAGGTCATAAGTTCAAACGTTACTTTACTTAACCTGATTTCTAAGGTCAGGTATTACGATTACCGGTTATAATCCGTAACTCAATCCAGTTTATGTAAGATACAAAACAGATGGGTTGTATCATTTTCATGTTATCCAAAACTCTCATCTGTCTTATAGCTCATTTCGTTTTAGTGACCAAACAGCCAGAATTTTTCCCATACATGAAATAGTGTTACGTTTAATTATTTGTCTATCTGATAACATACTTGAGAAAGCTGATTAGCTAGATTCCTGGTGCTCGTAACTACACGAAAATATTAGCACACACTTAATAGGTCACTAAATTCGTCTGTCGATCGCCTGTTTTAAAAAAGCAGCTAAATATATAAAAGGATGACTTCAGGTGCCTGTCTTAAATTTAGTGAGTACAAGCGTGTAGTTATCGCTTAACCCAGAATAACAACTTTCGAAACTCACAGAATTCATACACTAAGATTAAGGAACGAATTGAAAAATAGATAAGTATTTTATTTGAAAACAAGTTGAAGAATGGTACAGAAGTGTGCCTCGAATTAGATGTCATAGGAAATATCACAACACATCGTAATTAATTTCTGCGGATTCAGTGTGATTGCTCAAATTCCAAGACATCTTTCGCCTTCAGTAGTACACAACAACCGTTACATATCTTGAAGTAACTTCCACTGTGTTTGATGCATCTATACTAGCATGTACAGTGGCTGTATGAGCCTTTAAACATATTTGAGAACTAACGTCTAATGGGTTGTGAAGGAATTCATCATGTGACGTTAGTATAGTCTACCATTATACAAATTTGATGATACAGTTTACATGTACAACTATGGATAATGGGTGTTTGATCATAATAATTTCACTGAAACTGGTGGCGATAAGCAGCCGAATATGTGCATTATAGCTGCTATGATTATTTATTAAGATACAACGAACTCAATTTAACAAAATCGGGATGAATTTTGACAACTAATTTCTTCTTTTGTTAGGTAGCAAGTACGTCGGAGAAAAGTATCGTTCATGAGCGAAAAAGTTAAATCAGGAATACCAATTTTACTGAAAATTTTTGAATCTATACTTTTTAATTTTCATATTTATTCATGCTTCATTTTTCAGTCAATTTTGGTTAACGGATAAATAATAAAATAATAAACTATTGTCGTCCTTCTAAATTACTGCTCACCTATTATAGTGAAAGCTGTGAATGGTCGTTTTTTCAACTCTGGAGACTAACATGTTCGCAACCTAGACGTGCGCTTGACATTGTTAGTCGAATCCGAAAATCTCTAAGTTGATTGTTGTTCAAACATCAAATTGATAATTCCTTTATTTCACGCAAAAATACTGAGACAAAAAGTCACTAAAACATATATACAACACATGATAATAAATGAGATTGCATACATATAGAGAAAGGAAGCTATGATGAATAACAAGTAAGTGACTGAAAGCAGTGCAGTTAAAAAAACAACCAGAAAGAATTCTTTCGGTCAGAAAAGTTACTCTCACTTTTTTGAAGGAAGTTACAGTAGAATCGCCACTAGCTTCCGTTCTGAGGCATGTCCGATAACGTTACAAGCTAGTGTGTTTCCCCATCTGTAAGGCCACAATCAGAAAGTCGTGAAGGACCAACAGATGCTAGTCCTGTCCCTGTCTTTAGATACACAACCTATGGATTCAAGTCTCCGGCTAGCACCACAATATCTGTCGAACGCACTTCCCTATAGGAGAACACCCAGCTAGTGGTAGGGATTATCCGTGATCGTATCCTGCCAGTAATCTGTTGAAGCGTAGGTGGAGATGACGATATGACATCATTTCTCATACGATTTCTCCTCACATTGACGGAGTTTTCTACTTTAACAGCACAAAACCAATTTCAAATGGGGTCCAGTGGATTAGTGCTGCCTCGACTCTAGCGCTTAGTGTGGCACCCACGCCACCAAAACCAGACGAAGGCGCCAGTGTCTCCGAATAAACGCACGTGGAACGAGTTTTTCGAGGTGAAAGAGGGCGAATTTACAATACTTCACTAGTCTTGAATACTGTTCTCGGACAGACAACAGACGTTGATTTTGAGACTTTCTAAAGACATAAGAAACCCTATTCGTTTCCCGTTCTGCACTAGTGTGCGAACGTTAGAGGCCAGTTTGAATGGCATATGTGGTTTCAGAAAGGCTGGTTCAGAATTCGTATTCGGTGGTAGCATTCACTTTTCTACCTATCAGTAACTTGAGATCGTTTAAATAGAACAGGGTTTCCACCATTGGTGAGCTGCTGTAGGAGTTGAAGTATAAAGAGGTATACAAGGTGGGAATAAAAGCGTATACAAGTGACGTAATATAAAATGTCGGATATTAAAAAAATGGTTTTGAGTATGATTTGCGAGGAAGAATATTAGAGCGTGAATAGTTTTTCTAGCCATAGTCACCATTTATTTTATGAGTGGGCTCGGACACTACCTGAACCAAACAGGTGGTTTCACTCCGAGCCTTTGACCTAGGAGTCTAATCCACAAGTCAGTGGATCAATGTTAGGAAATACAGTCCTATGATAGCCAGTGATTGAGAATAGTTTCATATTACCATTTATCTCCTTTGAATCACTGAGCTTGTGTGCACCATTGGTTTGAAATCAAGATTTCCCAACTTCTCTAGGTGGATCCTCCGTATTCACCTACCCGGGTTGATCACCAGATATTTGCTTTTCGTCCTCTTGATTTAGAAATCATGACTGCCACGAAAATCCAAAAAGTTCTTGAGTCTATACTTCCATTATCTTAGCTACTCCGGAGGTCTTTTGTAAGCCTTCATTGTCATGACTCTGAATATAACGAATCCGTAATCGCTCACTTAATATTCCACGCATAATTATATATATATATATATATATATAATATATTAGCACCGAAATTAGTTAGGAATAGAAACATGTTAATTAGTGAATGCAAGCTTAGACGTCTTTAGTACGGGAATCAGATCACTTGATGTCAAACAGTTTACTAATCCTCGTCAGGGCCAACGACAGTGTAATCCTCGCTACATATCAACCGCGGACTTCGACAGAGACTGAATAATGGTGTGGAATAAAGCACTAATCCACAAGCAGTGTCAACGTAGCAAATGACAGATAAAACAATGCTTATTGTGAAATTAATAACAAAAAAAAATAAAATTTGAAACGATCACTTATATTTCCCCCTCTTCTTTCATAAGGATCGTCCAATTTGTCCCTCATATCATGTATAGAACCTTTTGCCGTCTAAAAATTTTCCAAGATCTTTTCCACTCATGTGTCGGGGCACTTGCAGGATAATAATTAAGAAAGTGCATCATTACTTCTTATGCTCCTATAGAAAATAACGAATTCGTTACTTTACCCGATCCTATCGAAATATCTGTGCACATTAATGGACTATCGGTTCATGTGTCCATATATGTCCCTCTCTAGATTTATTTTGAACACTCGTGGGCTAGATTTACTGAGAATAAACGCCGTTCTTGTATGTTGAGAGGAATATCACAGCCCTCATTCCTGTGATCAATTGATCACTCAGCTGCACACTAATTTGACTACCGAGATTGCATTTAGCAGCACTTTTTTGTAATCCAAGGGTCAATTTCCTAACATGGTTATTTTGACGAGTCGTCCCACAAAATTTCACTCTTGCGACATTCGGGGCTAGTACACCTTACATTATTCAATGGTAGTTCCCTGAGAATCACATAAAGAAGTGAAATAAGCTTTTCTAGAAATATCCGAGTTTTCGATAAGTAGTATATAATCTTCCTTATGATTAGAAGTAATAGGCTACGATTTTATCATGTTTAACTTCCCTCATCGTTATACTCCGAAATTCTAACCTTCCCATGATATCTTCAAAAGCTTCGGAGTTTGTATGCCTAACTGTTCTCTTTGGGGCACAATCGCGACGCCAATATGATGATTGGAAGCATTCGAATATACATACGAAAGAAGAAAACCCAAAATAACGCAATTTAAGGCACACAGAACTATGTGAGCACAAATAAAAGTATTGTATTTGGAATCTGGCACATATTGAGTACCGAGGAATCATTAATCCACATGTAGTAGGCGTCGCGATTGACTATGATCACTACTACAGGAAGTTTACGTACCAGATATTAGTTTTGATCCGTTCGTAGACCAAAAGGCAATCGACTGTCGTAATAGAATATATTTGTTGGCAATCTCGTGGTATTGAAATAATACCGAGATCGTGTTAAATAGTACAAACGGGGCTACGTAGCGTAAACGAAAGTGTACGAAGCCACTGTTAACGGAAGAAGGTAAGGTTTTAGTACAGTTAAACAACAGGTACAGTAGAACAATCACTGGTACAATTTGTTATAACTATAATTGTTTCCATTATACCAGTCGCGTTCTCTTCATAAAAGTAGGTCACTACCCATACAAATACGTTGCCACGGGAATTTCGCGCTTTTCAAATAGGATTGTGGTATTTTTTTCTCTGAGTGTGCTCTATAGTATTGATCATGACATCTGTTTTTGCCTAGATTGAATTTACTTCAGTTTAAGTAATCCACAATAGTACCGGTTTTTCTCTGGTGATTTTGCTGTCTGTACAGATACAGAAGCGCTAAAGGCTCTGGTATTTATTCTTCATCATTGATTATATCTTTTAGTATTGTTTGTATCCATATGAGTTCAGGTCATTTTGTAACTACTGAAGTCAGATTTTTTATTGTTGTCAGACATATCTTTTTATTTATCTATAAACATAAAACAAACTTATGACGAAAACTAAACATAGTCATGAAAGCCCTACATGCTCTTTCCCTGTCGATGATGGGATACAATAACTGTACTGTGATAACTGCAATAAGTGGTGTGTACACCAGAACCACACCGGCTGTATATAAACGGTGCTGCATTCCACTATCTTGTTGGTTGTGCAAACAGTGATGTTCTACAAAGTCTTCACTGATCCTAGAAGCGATTGAGCTGCTGAAGATAGCTAGAAAATTGCCCTCAGATAAACAGGCAGCAGTAGATGAACGGAATTCTGCTTTCGAGGAAATTGAGAGCGTCATCATGTGCCCAGCTCTAAATTTAAATAAGACCATAATGGTGGACCTTATCAGGAAAGCAGATAAGCATACGGACATAGGCATTGTCACAAGGAAAAAGAAAAAGCGCGCTGAGAAGAAAAGACTACCTATAGACAGTACTGAGTCATGTGAATCTGCGGTTTCTGTTCCGGATTCACATATCAATGCAATACAAACTATTGCGGAGCCAAGTCTGAGCGGTGTAGAGGATGTGATCAAGAGACAAAATAAGGTAAATGAGTAGTTCGAAGTCACCCTTAGGAAAAGAAAAGTAAGAAAACGGAATGTTACATCTGCGTTTGACGCTAAAGTTGAATCAGATTGCAGGAAAAAGACGACTTCAGGAACAGAAACGCCACAGTGTATTAAGACGGACCTCGCTGAGAGGTCAGTCATTTTTCGTAAGTTAAGAGAATTGTCAGATCAGGAACCAAAGGCTGGATTTGCTCACGACCTCAGCCATAATAAGTCTCCAATAAGCAAGCTACTCCCAGAAACGGTTTCAGAAGTTAGCGTCTGTAAGTTTTATAGAATAGGTCAAAGTTGGATTCTGAAATACCTCAGAAAAGTAGCCTATTGAAGATTACCTTTGCCACGGTTGAAGAAAGAAACCCGATACGAATAAACACACAAACTGATTGAATCCGGAATATGCGACCGTGAGAATCTCTGCTTGGTTGATCGTATTAAGAGATGAACCGCATAAGTATAACTAAATAATCGCCGCCGAAACGGTGAAAATACCTCCTACTTGGGATTTGCATATTGTAAAATTTCGAAGCGGAACGATCGCCAAACAGCTACGAATGATAAGGAGAAGTTCTCCACAATATTAAAGGTGTGCTGCACAAATGCTCGCAGCCTACTAAATAGAATTGCGGAGCCCAAGGCAATGGTGGATAACGAAATAGCAGTTGTTATTGCTGTCACAGGAACATGGTTGACGTCAGAAATATTGGATTATGTACTTCACTTGTTTGATATTTTGTGCAGTAGTGCTGATTGATTTAACCGTAGGGAGGCGAAGTCGTCCTACACACAAAACGTAGCTGAACGATACGAGCAGTTGTGACGATAGCATATGATTCAGTGACATGTGAACTGGTGCGTTGCAAGCTGAAATGTGGGCGGCAAGACTAGTTGTAGTAGATCGGAGTTCAGAATATGTAGTAGATGACTTCCTCCTAAGTGAACTTAAGTCTTGTTGTAATAGGGGTAATAGTCTTACAGTAGGCGACTGCAATGCACCGTATATAAAGTGAGTAAACATAGAAGTAGGGTAATCGACAACGTCATTCGATTGCAAACTGTTAGAAACCTCATTTGCATTAGCTTTATTCCATCTTACTAGAAATCCCACGAGATATGACTTAGGAAGCTCCTCTTCTCTTTTGGATTTAGTCTTCACACATGGTGATGACGTCCGTCAAATGACTTTCCTCCCACTACTTTGGAGACAAAGAACCAGATCAAAATACAGAGTCAAAAAACCGCCTGGTAACCTTGAACTTCGATAAAGACGACGTATTTGAGGCTCTTAGCACCTTAGACATGGAAAAGTCAACAGGACCAGATGAACTACACCCCCAAGTCTTGAGACATTGCACAATATATCGCGGCCCCACTGACTGTGACATTCAACATGTCATTTGACCAAGGTTTGTTGCCTATGGACTGGAAGGACACAATCGTCACTACTATACATAAAACAGGACCAAGACGACTTCCATCGAACTACAGACCTGTGAGCCTCACCAGTGTTGTAGTTAAAATATTGGAAAGGATAGTCAAACAGACCATAAAGACATTTCAGGAAGCAAATAACCTGTTAAACAGCGAACACCATGGTTTTAGAAAGGGTCTATCCTGTACAACAACCTCCTTATAGCAACGGAGTCCTGGATTAATGCGCTAGACAACGGAAACTCAGTGGATGTTGTCTACATAGACTTCAGTAAGGCTTTTGACAAGGTGCCAACTAATAGACTGCTACTGAAGTTGGAAAACCTTGGTATTGCCGGACCTCTATTAAAATGGATGGATGATTTCCTAGTAGATCGTAGGCAGAAAGTAATAATAAATTCCAAGTGCTCCATCTGGAGACCAGTACTTAGTGGGGTACCTCAAGGTTCCGTCTTAGGTCCTTTACTTTTTATAATGTATCTTAATGATCTTCCAAGTATAGTAGTCTCCGATGTTATTGTGCGCTGACGACGTAAAAATCTGGTGAGTAATAACTGGAGACACAGACGCACGTGCTCTTCAGGTAGACTTAAATAATATGATTAACTGGTCTAAAGAGTGGCTGGTGCCTATCAACGCGGCAAAGTGTGTCTACATGCACTTTTGGGATTCAAAAGTTAATAGGTACAACATAGGGGAAGTGCCATTACCCGTAGTCCGGTCTCATAAAGATCTAGGGGTGACAGTGAGTCATGATCTTAAGACGACGGCCCATTGCCGGGAGGTCGCAGCTAAGGGGTTTCGAACCCTCTGGGCTTTAAAACGGACATTCACTAAGTTAGATACTAAAATGTTCACCGCAGTATACTCATCCTTAGTAATCCTATTACAAGCAAACTAGACAATTCGCTAATGTACGAAGCCTACTCAAGACCCTATGATACCTGAAAAAAATACAAAAAAAGTGAAAAGGGCTTCAACAGCTTCGATAAAAAAAGGAAGATAGCCAATTGTATATCACAATACCGTTCCTAGCCCTATATTTTATTTTATAACAACACATAATCCCATACCCTCAGCTC